GTTCTGCCAGCGTCGCGTTGAAGACATTTTCATTGCGCACATTTTGGCCACACGTGCCGGCCATTCATTTGCCAGTCCCAGTCGCAGGCCCAGCCGGGCCATCCGACAGTCAACTAGAGAACTTGTTCAATTTGCCTGCCAGCTTCACTGACTGCCTGCCTGTCTGTCCATCTCTTCGTTTTTCCGGTTTTCTTTTGCTTTTGCTTTGGGCATTAGAACAACATAATTTGCTTGTTGATGTTGTTGCTGTTGTCGTTGTCGTTGTCGTTGTGTTTGCTGTTGCTGCTGTTTCTATTGCTTATGCTTTGATTGGAGCACAGGAGTCCGGCAGGCTGCAGGTGCCTGTTTTCTGAACTTTAACAAATTGCATGAGTCCCATTGAACCCTTCAGCCAAAAAGCACGGTAGCAAGCAGACAACGTTATCTAATCTATGCCAAACAGTTGCTGCTTTTTATACACCTGCCCGAACGGGTGGCCAGCGAAGGGGCATCGAACTGAACAATGATTTAATACGGCAGTCGAATTATTCTAATTGGTGTTTACACAGCTCAATTGCCGGTAAGAACAACAAGTGCAGAGCGTATGACAACAATGAGGTGTCATTTGTTTACATTGCGACGGGCCAGCGGGCGTATACGTAATGTTCAATGCTCCCAAACAACAAACAGCTCTCCTGAGCAGCTATCGTATAAATCTTATCTTGAGCAATTGCACAATCATAAAAAAACACACACACACCAATATGCAAATAGTATAATATTCTATGGGGAGGCCAGAGCTCCCCTAGTTTCCCTAGCTCCCCTCTCCGGCAGCTCAGCCGGCTAATGGGGCGCGTGCTAGACCCGCTGCCAGAAATTGTAAAAGATATCCGTTCAAACAAGATAATGTTCGCATGATACATACGTTTCTTCAATAAATCACTGGCTGAATTCTATTTAAAAGAATCGAGAAATGACACAATGTCGCCAGAGCGCCAATAAAAATGAATCAAAAATTATCAAATAAATAACGAGCGCTCGCAGTCAAATTCATAAATTACACAAAAAAAAAAAAATAGAAAACAAGCTGACAGAAAATATTAAGAAAATGCAGAAGTGCTGGCAAAGTTGTTCGTTTTTCTTTTTGGAAAAACAAGCGTTAAATATTGGAGAACAACATGAAAAACTTCCGTTCGCTGTCGCAGTCGCTGGCGAATGTGGGTCAAGCAGCGAGAGAGGGAGAGAGAGAGAAGGAGAGCCAAAGAGTGAGAGAGCGAGAGAGAGCGCGACACTGCCAAAATAAAATGTCTTTCAGCGCACGATGACAACGTTCCAAATTCATATTTTTAAGAGCTAAAAAAGACAGAAAAAAAAAAAGAATGAAAAACAACACGTCACATTGCACATTTCATTAATTTTGGCTTAAGTGAAATCATTGGGAATAACCCCAAGTGCCGAGAACAATGATAAATCCGTGATGCTTTGCTGTCGGTAAGTGTATGCAAATTGCATGCAATTTGGACGACAGATGGCGCCAGGCAGCGTGTCGCATGCAATTTGCTTATTAATTCAATAAAATCTTAATAAACGTAACGTTCCCAGCCATACCCGCCTAACGTAACCCCTCTCAGCTGGCAACGGACCATTGCTAAAACCACATGTTGTCGCCGCTCTCCCTCTCTCTCCTTCTCTCTCGCTCCTCTCTTCCGTTCTCGGGCGTTTTTGATGGATTTGCATGAATCATTGAGGCGTCACGCTCGAAGGAAAAGCGCCCAGAAATGAGTTGTAAAAAACGAGCAAAATTTATTATATTTTTCATATAGTATGAAAAGTTATTTTAATGCGAGCACATCGCCTCCATCTCCTGTGCTAAAATCGGCGACAGGCAGCAGGCCAAAACCGACGACGACGACGACGACAGTTTTCCTGCCATTGCTTTTGGCAGCGTTTCCTCTCTCCGTTTAGTTTCTAGTTGTCGCAGTTGTTATGCCAGACTTTTCCGGAAGCGCGGCGCGACAGCAGCTGCGACTTTGACGTAGTGTTGACGCACAGAAACACCAACAACAACAACCGCAACAACCACGACAACAACATCTTCATAAGGGGCCAATGAGCTCTGGCAGCAAAACGTTTCTAAAAACTAATTGTGTGTATATCAAATTTAAGGGCCTCTCTCTGCAATTCTCTTGTTAGATTTAACCTCAAGATAGAATTGCAAACAAAAAAGTATAACAACAAGAAACCCTCGCAAATGGTGTTCGTTTGTAATTCCCAAAGAGTTGAGGCATCAGCTTGATGTAGTGAATACCCAAATGCATGATGAATACATTTGTATTTTCGCTTGTAATTCTCAAAGAGTTTAAACATCAGCTTGAACCGCTAATGGGAGGAGACTTGAAAAATATATTTGTATTTTCGTTTGTAATTCTCAAAGAGTTTAAACATCAGCTTGAGACGCTAATGGGAGGAGGCTTGATAAATATATTTGTATTTTCGTTTGTAATTCTCAATGAGTTAAAGCTTGATTTAGTAGATACCTTAATGTATGATGAATACATATAATATATAATCTATTTGTTATCTGATAAAAAAAAGTTCTTCAAGCACCTCTTTGCAATAGATATTGCCATACACATTGGATTTCCCCCATTTATCATACCACACAAAGCTCCCAGCGCTCTGATAATCATCTTTTAAGCGCATAATTAAGTCATAATAAGTAAGAATTGAGGCGAACTGAAATGATATGCCAAACGCAACAACAAATCAACAACAAATGACAAAAAATATTAATAAATAATAATGAAGAGGAACGAATAAAATGTTCATCTTATTATTATGCCTCGAATTTCATTGTGAATCAAAGCAAAAACTTGAAAAGGCTTCGACCGGCGCACAACTGCGTGCTGAATTTGGGGCTCTCGCAGCCCACGAAATGAGTGGCCAGGGGGGGTCGGGCGGTGGCAGCACCCCCCTTCAGCCCGTTCGCTTTGGGGCTTTGGGGCATGACAATTGTCAACTTGTTTGCGTGCTGCCTTCAATTCTTAATCGCCTTCTGTCCATAGCCACTTGTGAGTTGCCGTTTTATTATTTCTTCTCTCTCTCTCTCTCTTGTTTTTTTTTATTATATTATATTTTATTTGGCATGGAGCTCCTTCACGGCACGGAGTGAACGAGGAAGGCAGCTGGAACAGAAGCGGGCATCGCCAACAATTTGGGAGCGTGAGAAAGTGACGCGCACAATTAAAATGCTGTTTTATGGGCCGTCGCATTGGCCAAAGAGAACATAAATTATAAACAATAAATTATCTTTAAATATGTAACAATATTTTTTTTTTTGGTTTTTTATAGTATAAATATCGCCACATACATTTTCCTTTTCGGCCGGGCCACGCGAGAGACGCATAAATTAACATTCGGTTAGCATTAAATCAAAAATTCGTATATATAAATAGCGTCTCGGGGATTTAAACACATCTATGTGCTATATACAGACGATTTTATAATTATCTCATTATTATTGTTATTCATTGGGCCTTTCAATTCGCTGGAAAAATCGCGTGCGTAATGCCATTGCATAATCAGGCAAAAATTCACATGCAATTCTTAACTGCATTTCCCACTCGCCCACCCACAGCCCCGCCCACTCGTTATCGAAAATAGAAAATGTTGTAGTTCGGCAATCGCAAATAGAAAATACTTTAGAATTGACCAATTTGTCTCTCAAATTGTCGCAGATGATTCATTCATTCACGCAATTCGCAATTATCATGTGATGAACAACACCACCACCCCCCTCCCCCGCCACCCCTCCCCCTTTTCGACACGCCCACAGCGAGACACGTGATATGCCGGCTAATTTAAGTAAATCGAACGTCTGCCCAAATTGTGGGCGTGGCCGCGGCGCACTCGCATCCATTTCATTGCCAAACACTCGCGACTCACTCATGACTCAGAGAAAGCCAGGAGACTTTTTGGCAACAGCCCGCAAATGATTGGCCAATGTGTAATTGGCCGTCTGCAAAATGCGTTAATTAGGCAACTTAAATATAATTCGAATGCTTAACTTATCAAAATTGACAAATGTTTGCCTTAAAGCCCGCACGTGAAACGAATTCATTTTTCAATTATTAGCTAAAGTTTCAAAAATATATCTAAATATTTGGTTTATTTTAGAATAATAAAAGTATTTTAAAAAAATACACCTTTATACACCCTTGCGGATCGATTATCAATTATCAAAATTTGGATAACATTTTTGACAAAAATTCCAAATCCTTAGAGTTAGATGCCCGGGTTTGAACCGGTTTGCTTTCTAATCAGGCTATTCAAACTAAATAAACTTTAATAATTTAGCAATTTTTCCACTATTTAAATCTTCATAAAAAGTAAATAAAATATGGCTGCACAGCGGCAACTGTCTTCTCGACGTGGAAACGTCGAATATGAAACTTTAATAGTTTTGTTTTTTTTTTTTGCTTTGATTTAAAATTTGAGAAAATGCTTAAAAAGCCCACACTCTAAAGTAATTACTTTAAGTAAAAGAATCTGTCGTCAGCTGCAATGGAAAAAACCTATAAATATTTCAACAGAATTTGTACAAAAAATCTTTTACAAATCTTTTACAAAACATCTATGCGAAGGTTCCTTGAAAATCAGGTCATGTCATATGCCAGTTTTACGATCGCTGCAAAAGCAGAGTCCATAAACAACTTACGATTAAGTTTAACAATTTTGAGCAGACGCGACGCCTATAAAATCCAAATAAAAATACAAGAAATAAACTTAAAATTTCAATAATTTCTAGTACAATTTTTGTTGTTGTTGTTTTTTATATGGCGCCGAGGCACAAAACGATTTTCACATTTCGCATAAACAATGAAACATGCTCAAATTAATTCGAATTTAAGGCAAAGTCTGCACACTATGTAGATATATTTACGTATACTATATTATTGGAAAATTTGGAGACTAATGCTTAAGCTTGTTGCTTTCTGCTGTTGTTGTTGTTGTTTTTACAGCACAGAACGCATCGATTACATCGCTTATATCCATGCCGAGCAACGCGACGATGATCAACGGCAAGGAGCTGCGCATCATCTGCAACGTGGAGGGCAGGCCGCCCCCAAAGGTGACCTGGTTCAAGGACGACAAGTCGATAAATCGCAAACGCAATGTTTACCAATTCAAGCATCACAAGTGAGCACCCAAAAGAGTTCAATAATTGCATAGATCTAACAATTCTCTTTCTCTCTCTATCTCTCTGCAGAAGACGCGCCGAGCTGATCGTGCGCTCCTTTAACAGTTCCTCAGATGCGGGCAAATACGAGTGTCGTGCCAAGAATAAAGTCAGAAAAGACATCGACAAGCGCGGCATCATGATCAATGCCTATCCAGGTAAGGCCTTCAAGATTTAACAGCCGCACTCCACCCCCTCTCACTCTCTATCTATCTATCTGTCTATATCTGTATCTCACTTTGATGTGCGCCTGTCAAGCGGCTCGCTCCAATTCATTTCTAATTAATGGCCACATTTGAAGGCGACAATCTAACCCAGATGCATATGTATCTATATCTATATCTTGAGAGCATACATATTTATTGTAAATTAAAATTATGAATTAATTTCGTGTTTTTCCTTTTGCTTTCATTTTGATATCTTACAGTTCCGCTGACGCCGGATCCGGGCAGCGCGGGCTTTCCATGCGAGAATAACCATTGCTTTCACGGCGGCACCTGCATGTTGTTACCGTTTCTGAATATATATTATTGCAAGTAAGTTGATTTCGAACCCAGTCAAAAGGATTGCGCTAGACGAAAATGTATTTTAGTCAGGATTGTGTAGGATTGTGTGGCATTGAAATGTATTTTGGTCATGATACAGCTGCGCCTGCTGCCTCTTCAACACGAACCCCAATGTCAAGTGGCTGCGCTGCGATAAAACCTGTGACAGCTGATAAAGTCGGAGAGTCCCGAAAGACAAGCCTCCACCCAAACAAAATAACCAACGAGTGAGCCGAGCACTTGAGAAACTGTCGAGAAACTGTTCAATTTTGGCATCGCATTACACGATCGAGTGAAAATCCCAATTGTAGGATTTCAGAACTCCAACGAACTCGCACTCACACTCGCACTCGCACTCGCACTCGCACTCAAACATATACACTCACAGCAATGTGAATAATGTCTTTCGGCGCCTCGTTTTATACATTATCCACGATCTGTGCATGTGTGAGTGCAAGACGCATATATCGACTCGTATATGTAAACCAATCCAATTTCCATCCACTGGCAGCCCCCAAAAAGCGCATTGTACTTGTTTTTATCTTCGCGCGTTTTGTTTTTCTTCTTATTCCTATTTTGTCTGTGAAAAACCATTTTAATTTTCAATTTGAGTTCTTGGCTGATGTGATTTGCAAAAAAAGAGAGACAAATGAAAAAAATAAGAAAAAAAAATTGTTAATTAAATGTTGGTTTCGTTTTTTTCCTCTTCTTGCTGTTTACACTTAAGTATTCGGGTTTTCGCGTGCGAGGGAAATGCTGGAACACAGAGTTCATGGCCAGCTAAATGTGCTGTATACTCAATTTGCCGAAGATCTGAAGTGTTTGCATCGCATTAAGATACATTCAAATACAATATTTACTTATCTTAATCTATATCTTTTCAAAATTCCAGTTGCCCGGAAGGATTCACTGGCCAGCGCTGCGAGTATTCCGGCCCAGACAGTACGTACAGCAATAATCCCGAATGTGGCAACAAGTTTTATGGAGGGTATTACTGCTAAAATAGGCACTTCTATAGCATCGATTGTTTTAGATCGAGTTACGCGATACCAATACCGATACCGATACCGATACACGAAATCGATATGAATATCTACAACAAAAATCAGAATCGATCTGCACACAAAAATAGAAATCAAATACAAATCAATTAACCAAAATCACAAACTTTCAATAAACAGAATGAACATAGTATATCTGACAATAAATCAACATAAATATTAGAACATCAAATAAACCAAATATAGTCGATAACAATACACACACACACACACACACACACGCACGCACATACAACCACACATACACACACACACAACCACACATACACACACACACACGCATAGTACAAATACAGTATACCGGCTACTCAGTAGCAACTGAAGCATAAAAATCGCACGTAATAAACGATATATGACCAAAAGCCTAAGATTCAGAAGTTCCCCACTCGCTCTCCTCCACAGCCGCCTTCATGATTACTTGAATTTTATTAGAAAACACATTCCAAAAAGCAACAAAGCAAAGTCTTAAATCTAGCTAACAACAAAAAGATTATTCTATTTTATTACGCTACATACGTATATATAAAAACAAAAATTAATAAACTAAAATGCATAAAAATTATCAAAAGGAAATTATGATAATGCGAATAAAAACAAATGGTGCTATAGAAGGTTTATTTTAAATAGTTACTACATAGGAAAAAACTATATTAATTAAAAACAACAAATTCTCTATAAAGTAAATGTTAAAAAAAAAACAAATTTTGATTTTCCATTTTCACGAAAAACAAAACAAAATTATGAATGCAACTCACCGACTCGAGACAGTCAGAAATTACGACAAACGCACACGCACTCAACAGAACAGAACAGAACAGAATACCTACCAAATACTGAATAACTTGTCGAACCATTCAATTGGCGAAGCCCTCACTCATATGGATTACGCTCTACCTATAACTATAACGATTACGATAACGATTACGATAACGATAACGTTAGCGTTAACGATAACGATAACGATAACAATAACAGTAACAATAACAGTAAACAGAGGCTCTCATAAGTTAGATATTCTTTGCAACAAATGGCAACCCCATCAGCAAAATAGCTGTCGCCAAAGTACAGTCACCACAAAAAAGCACTGACCACAAACCGAAATTTTGTTTTGTTTTCGAACAAATTTTTTTTTTTTTTGTAGTTTGCAATAATCAAAAAGAAACAACAACAAAAACAAATTAGACAAAAAAAAACAAACACAAACGATGTAACAACAACATGAATAATAATACTTCATTCAATAACTATAATTATTTCTTGCAATTAATTTAGTTATTTAGCAATCGTATATATACATTTTATTATAGTTTCTTGTTATACTATGAAACATTATTAACACTTTGGCTGTAGATTTTGACAAACCAAAACACCAAGCCAAACAAATCGAAACAAACAAAATATAAAAACAATTGCATACGCTCCTTATTATTTATGTGGTGGTTGTTTATCAATAGTTTGACTAATCTTTTGCGTTTCCCCCCCAATCTGTTCTCTCTCAATTGGTTAACTCTGTTCCACTATTTTACTCCTACTTTTTTTTTTATTTTTCATTTTGTTTTCTTAACGCAAAAGAGCATTAAGCTGAGCTGGCGTACAGTTTCCAAAACGGAAGTTCAGTTTCAAAATCATGCATGAACAACTGCTGGTTCCCAACGGAATCTGTTTTGAGCGCTCCCCAATAACTAGTTCATTTTTTTTTTTTTAACTTTTTGCTTGTAATTCCCTTTTGGAAATGGTATTAGGGCAGCTAGTTATCGAAAAAACAAAAAAAAACAAAATTAAACTAAAATAAGAGAAAAAAAAAACCAATTAATTTTAATTTTTATTTATGATTTAATCTCTTCACAGATATTTTGTTGCAATCTACGGCCAAATACATACCTTAAATAATGATTATCTTAATGCATAGAATTTTTATTTAAACAAAAACAAAAAAAAAAAAACAAAAACAAATAATAAATAAAACGCAATCAAAAGTACTCCCTGCACTCCAACGCCGACAAATGTAATTTTTTAGTATTATGTTTAAAAAATTCTACAATTTGTTGCACCACACGAAAAACCAAAAACAAAACAAAAAAAAAAAACAAAAACAAAATTTTCGCAACGCTCACGCCAAGCCAATTGTGGGCGTTGTTCCAAATTTTTTTTGCAACTACAAAGAAAAAATAATAATAATATCATTTATAAATGATAATAATGAAAACAAATACATTAACCAGCTGCAGACTCACAATTCCCGTTGTTTTGGCGTTTGTGCACGGTGACAAAATTTTATCTATGAAAATTGAATCAAAATCTGAACTTTCTATTGTGCTTCGTATTGCGAGAGGAAATAAGAAATTACAAAATAAAAACCCCCCCCAAAAAATAAGAGAAAGATAAGAAATGATACCGATTGACCCTGACACTGACACTGTTTCGCTTTTGTTGTTGTACCATAGACTTACATACATGCATACATACATACACATAGAGAATATGAAGAACGAGAGCTTACCTAGCTGAGAACTTGTAATAAACCATGTATATATACATATATATGTGTATATATATATATATATATATACATACATATATAAACATTATGATTCACGATAAGTTTTGTGTACATTTCAACTAAGTTATAAAAGAACTTAACCATAATTTATTTTGTATTTTATGATTGATTAATTTAAACTTTTTGCTAAGAACAACACACACACACACACACACATACAGCTACTTAATTTCGAAATACTATTTTATTTTCCATTTATGTTTTTTTTTTCTTAATTAAGTATTTGTAACTAAAGTGTATGAGAAATGCAAACTTTATTTTTATGTATATGTTGACAACAGTTTGTACTTATCTTAGGCGATGAGATTATTCTTAGTTAAGTTAAGTCAAAATTTTTAATTTAATTATTGAAAGATTTATACCAAAAATACTATGTAAAGCTTAATTTTAATTAAAAAACAAAAACGATGAGTAAGAAAAAATTTCATTAAAAATTTGCAAATACTTCACATTTTACAAATTTTTTGACTTTAATTATTAGTTGACTTTATTTTCATGCTACTTTTAATTATTTATAGTTAAACAATTGCAACCAATTTGAGAAAAACAGGGAAAAACAAAAACATTTTTAGTTGATTTTCCTAATTTGCAGTTTAGTTTCATTAATCGAAGCGTGAAATCTTCTATTAGCACCTTCGTGTAATTATGAGTCTTAGGATACGGGGCTTCTCTGAAAATGAAATCATTTGAAGCCTTGCTAAAAGTATATTTGTTTGGTTTTTCAACAGGTTCCTCCTACAAAATGGCCTATAGCAACAATAGCAATCGATGGATGAGAAGCAGTGCAAAATAAACCTCTATAGAATGCAAACTCGTAGTAGGAACTATTAATGGATCTCATGATGAATGAAAAGTTTAAAGATTGCTAATAAAAGTATTTGTTGCGAGAACTGTGCTTTGTTTCCATGTTAATAAATAAATATATTAAATAGTCCAAAAAGTATTGCAATCATAAGTTAATAAAGCGCATACAATTAATATTTAAAGGCCTGGGAAAGTAACAAAAATGTCGAATACCCTCAACAACAATGCCAGACAGGAAATTATTATTTTCGAATGCTGTTTGCTGTTGGCGCCAAAGCTTTCGGTAAGTTTGGTATTTGAGTATTTTTGCCGTTTGTAGTTTTTTGGTATTTTTTGAAACCATTTCATTTTATCGATTAAGTTTATTCACTCATTTTGCACAAATGAACTAGTTGAACGTGTTTCTTCGCGAGTCAGTGTTCATTCAACCCTACTGGTTCGAACAGGAACGGAACTGAAAAGACAGCTTCAAAAACTAGCGGCTTAAATTTATAGAAAAGTTTTCTCTTGCCAATTTATTAAAAACGCAGCTTAATATGTCCACGGCCCAAGCAACTAAAAACTGCATCACGCTAAAGGGCTCAGCACAAATCATTGTCGAGTACTTGAGTAAGTAAATACAAGAAGAATGGCGACGCTTATAAATCTCGCGCTCTAATTATGGCGTCCCGCCTTTGTTTACTTGCGAAATTAGAATACGGCATCAATTCGATATTGTTCCAACGTGGTATCTATCCAGCGGAGAACTTTGGCAACACACAACAATATGGACTGACCATACTCATGTCCAAGGATCCTAAGATCACAACCTTTCTGCAAAACGTCTTGAAGCAAACCGAAGGTTAGTTAACTGCGCACGCGTTGCATCTGTTGCGTTTTATGACCAACACCCCTCTCCCCTCGCGTACATACTTTGACGTGCCTTTCAGAATGGCTTTCCAAGAACATGATTAACAAAATCTCCATGGTCATCACAAATGCTCACACCAAGGAAGTGCTCGAGTGTTGGGACTTCAAAATGCAAGCAGAGGCTGGCGATGGCGAATCCAACGATCCAACCAAGCAGACATCCTCAAAGCAGCTGAGCCGCATACAAAACGAGATACGAGATGTTATGCGCCAGATATCGGCCACCGTTAGCTATTTGCCGCTGCTCGACTGCATTTGTACGTTTGATGTGATGATACATACCCTTCAAAACACCGAGATACCAGCACAGTGGGACGAAACCGGCGCAGTCTTCATACAGAACGCTCAGGCGGTGCAGTTGCGCTCCTTCTCCACTGGCTTGCACAAGGTAGACACGGTGGTCAATTATAAAATGAGCTCTTAAGTGATATATATAATATTTATTCTGTTTCTATTTACATAAGATAAACGAGTCGCGTATTTTTGCATATTACATAAAAAGCCAAATAATTGCATAGTAGTTGACCTCCACCTCCGATTTAATAGTCATCTAGAGCAGGAGAGAGAACGGAGAAGATTTAAATAAGAAACTATATAACGTATTCAACAAAACATAGGTCAGTTGGTTTAAGTAGGATTTGGTTTGGATGCTTGGCAGGGTAATCTAACACACTACCTATCCTAAGCCGAGCTTAGTTGTCAAGTCTTTGAGGAGCTGTTGTTATGCTGCTGCTGCTGCTTATTCATTTTTGTGACTACCTATCTAGTCAGTACCAAAGTATTTCTGGCCAAAATGATTGGGCGCCACCGGATGCAGCTCGGAGGTGAGAATCTGCATTCTGGGAAACGCAGTGACTACGGTACGAGCGGCGACAGGCGTACAGAACAGATTCGACAATATGATGCACTCCTCGGGCACTCCATGCTCTCGCAAAACATTCACTGCCTTTAACACAGTATTCCCAGTGGACATGATGGGATACATGAGCAGCACCTGGCGGCTACCAATGTCATCGGGAAAACGCGCATAGACCACGCGAGCCTCGTGTGTATTGGCATCCGATTCGACCAAAATCTTTCCAATGCGTATAGAACGACAGCAATCCCGCAAGCCCTGCTCCATGGCCTCACCGGATCGTATGATGGAGACGCCGCAATTGCCAGAGCGATATTTTAGGCCCTGATAAATGGCACCAGTTGGAGTTTCCACGTCGCAATCGGAGTATGGCAACTGATTTAGAGATTCTTCGATAACGAGCCGTATTAGCCGGTCAGCATAAAATTTAAAATCGCTCCGCGAGGTGTTTCTGTGTGCGAGACAAAGATTAGTAGGAGTTTAAACAAGTGACAGGCACTTACTTGTCGCGAATTATGGTCAAGAGCTCGGCCACTTGAGAATTTAAAGTAAGCAATTTTAAATTTTTACCATATTCAGCAAGAATCTCTTCTGGAGTGGACGATCCAATAGCTGTTCTCAGCGCCTGTTCCCCTTGCTCCGTAACCGCTTGTTCTTGTTCGTGCTCGTTGTTCTCTTCGGCTTGAGAACCGTTGCTGCTGGGCGAGCCACCGGTGCACATAATTATTTCTTTATTATATTTAAAATGTTATTTTAATTGGTTAATTTTTTTTTTTGCCAGCTTTGTTTTGCTAGCGTGCCAGCAAAATGTATCGATATATCGGTTCACCGCAGCGATTCTAATCGCAAAATATCATTGATAGCATCGATAGTGTTGCTTGCACGACAGTCAGGTATCGATAAACGCGAATAGTGCAATCGCTGTCCTAACTTACCTCGTGTTCTGGTTGCAAACAAAGAAAAAGTGCATTTTAACTATTATTAAATTACATTTAATTTAATTTTAACATTAATAAGTGAGCGCGCGTGTGAACTCGCGTCGTGCAGCAAGTTACGTGCACCTCTATATGCGTCTCATGGTCGCGTAAACGTCTGTGTGCGTGCGTGTGTGTATTGGCATTGTGTGGCTGTGGCATTGGCGCTCCGCTGCTGCTGCTGCTGCGCCTCAGTTTCCATTCATATTCTATTAACTAATAAACAAATAACCTTCGGGGCCGACCCGCGCCAGTGCGAGTAAGCCAAAACTAAAAATCAAATTGCAGCATTGACAAGGAAGTGCGTCTCCTTTCCGTCGCCGTTTCCGTGGGCTGTTTCCGTATTGCTTAGGCAGCAGCAGAAGCAGCAACAAATTCAATTGCAAACGTAAAACAACAAAAAAAGAAAAAGAAAAAAGGCAAAGCCAAAGTGTTTGCCTGTGTTTGCGCTTGTGTGTGTGTGCGTGTGCGTGTGCGTGCGTGCGTTTGTGTGTGACGACAAACACAACGACAAATGGCGGACGTAAATGATACAAGTGAACTCTTCGATCTCGAGCTGCACGAAGATGACAAAGCGCGAGACTCGGATGACGACAGGATCGAGCTGGATGATGTGAGTATATAACAAACTGCGCAGCAGCACAACGACCACCCCCACCCCCCCTCTCCCCATCCACTTACACATGTGCGGTACGCAAGTTTTTCCTCTTTGTTTACCTTTGCTTTGTCTGGCCCCCGCCTCCCAAAAAAAGAAAGAAAAAAACGCATTTTCTCTGTTTGGGCGCTGAACTCTCTGCGCTTATCTGCTGCGCAAAAGTCCACCACAGTTTCGGAGTGTGGCGTCATCAGGTTATTCAACATCTTCAGTCATTGCAGCCTCAGCTCAAGCCGCAAGCACAGCTCGGCGCTACATGAAACACTTTTTTTTTCTATAATTATCGCTAAATTTGATTTCAACATTAGGCAATTGAACCATACAAATGTCCTTCAAAATAATCAGTATCAATTACTCACACCCGTACCTAAACACAGACACGCACACACACACACACACACACAGACAAACAGGCCCGTCAGTATCAACTTGGGAATTACAACAACTACATTTTGAGCACCCAGTCGCACCCAGTTTTGAATTGCCCTTTGAAAGGCGTCTTTATTGATAAACTACCATCTTAATTCCTGGAAAATATATAGATTCATAATGTCAAAAAACAGGAAGGGGCATTTATCTTTTGTTTGCCGAAGATTAGATATTAGATACTTTTGCGTACATTTAGCAGACGTACTATGAGATAATTCGCTTCTTAATCACGTACAAGCAAACTTTATATACATTTGATAAATATATATGTATATGATTTATTAATGTGATTATGAGAACACTTTAAAAAGGCGTTAAGAGCATAAATAAGTTTGTAATTGTTGAATTTGATCAAAGTATCTTGAAAAACTAAAATTTTCGACTGAATGGGGCTTTTGTAACCCTATGCTTAAGATAATAGTACTAAATCGTATAAAACTTGAAGCATTCATCGTTCCACCTGGTTGTTACGTGTTGTTCCCATTTGTGCTGAGATAGAATGTGGTTTGCAGTGCATTTTTCACGTCTAAGAATAACGGTGGGTCACACACACACACACACACACACACATGCTCAGTCGCTCTTCGCAGTAAGCTAAACTCCCACTTAAAAGGAACGAAAACTCTTATCAGTGTATAAAACAAAATTAGAAAACGGAAAAAATTAACGGCAAAGTGCTCTGCTGATAAGAAGCAACAAAAATGGTCGAAGAAAACGTCCAAATGGAAACTTGGTAATCGTGTCGATCGGCCGCGTGTGCAGCATTATTTGCTTTATTTTCCAGCAATTGAATAAATGCAATCGAATTTTTTTTTCTGATTTTGCAATTGTCATAAATACTTGTGGGGCTGCAGGGCGCACGCCCTCGAAATGTGGACATTGGAAATTATGATGGATTTGTTAATTGGAATTCGGCGCCAGCATTTGAGAAGGTTGAACCAGTTGCCGTTCAACCAAAACTGACTTCTGACACCCGCATATGTGTATACACACATGTGTGTATTCGAAATGAAACAAATTTCTGTACGCCTTTCGGTTCCCCTGCGAGTCCAAACCGAGATGAGAAGTCTCCAAGTCGCACCCCGCGCCCCCCAAAACGAAGAGGCGAACGTCTCGGCAGCATCCGCAGCAGAATTGCCGGCAGAGTATTTGGCATTGTTCCGAGTTCTAATTTTAGTTTGTCATTAAAGAGAAGGTGTGTGCGTGCGTGTGTGCGTGTGTGTGTGCGTGTGTGTGGAGAAGTGTCTGGCTCTATATAATTATACACGTATATATATTTAGTCATATATATGTATAGCCGATCTACAGCGAACCCGAGGCAAAACGGAATTTTTGTGCGCCTCGTTCTGCGTCGGCGTTGCCGCTTTTAACGATTTCTCTCGGCCCCAAAGCACTTTCTCTCTGCCAAAGAGCGCATCACAATTTGTCTCTGTCATAAAGATACTTTGCCCAGTTCCAGGTAGACGCTACTTTACTCAGAGTTCGTTTAGTAAATCCTATACAATGTTTTCAATAAAGCTTAAAGATTGACTTCCATTAAATAATAGAGTTTATAATATGACTAAAATTTGTGTTTGGGATGCCGAAGATGGAATACACTTGTCAAAAAGAGATGCTACTTAAGCCACGCTCCACGTTACAATAGAAGCTAAACGAAATAGAAGCCCGATTTTAATAAGATTTTCCTGTTAATGCACTTTATTGCATTGATGCTATTGATGGAGTTCTTTGAAATCTTTTGCAAAGGAACAGCTATATGATATAGTCATCCGATCTGGACGATACGATAAAAAAGGCTCATCTTGTTCGCATGGAATCAGAAACACAGCTGTTATAAAGTTTTGATAGAGTCGGAATTATTTTGATTATAATACCCACAGAAAGGGTATACAAATCTCAAATATTAGGAATGTAGACTTGGAATTCCTTTTCTATTACTTTTAACCCTTGATTACCTGTTGAACGTCTAAGATATAGCGAGAGTATTTGATATATTGAGTCTCGATAAGTTTTTGAGTATAATTTAGATTGAGTATCTTTAAAATGTTTACAATGTAACTTGTGGGCTTTCAATAGCAGCTACTAATTGTTCAAGTTTTTTTTCTGACTCATTTGCATATTGTATATTCTCTTCTTATATGTGTCTCTCTGTCTTTGTCTCTCTTGCAGGTCGATCTGGAACCGGAATTGAGCATAAACCTACACCAAGAGTGAGTAATGCCCAAGTTATGTCGCTGGCAAATGATGAGACTGCGATTCCGAGGCTTTCGCAGGCGACGTACAGACGACGCGATTCTCTTCTGAGAACAACAACTGAACAAATGTTGAGGGGGGAATTCCCATATGTGTCGGCCGGATGATAATCGGTTTAAGGCTGGGGCAATAACGTATCAATTGCCACACACACACACACACACTCAGGCACATTATGATCGCCGCCAGAAGGAGAGGCACACCTGTCGTTGGCGGCAGCTACCGGGACTGATAACGCGACTGGCTTTGTCATGTGGCGGCGTCAGAAGTGTTTACAACTGGCAATTGACTACCAACAAGCTGTTGTTGCCCCGTCTAGTGGGCAATATGCCAGCCAGCCGATGTGCAAACACTCGATATGCTGATGGAGTGGGCTGTTAGTTGGCTAGGCCGAGGGGTTGGGCAATGTTACGGGGTCTGGGGGGCGCCAATTGGCGCGTGTTTGGCAGCAAACTTATTTATAGAACGCGTGGGTTGTCCATTTCCCACGCCAGCAGCAATGTACACAAAATCTAAAACACATTTGCTAAACTAATCGTGCCCCCTCTCTTCCTCTCTCTTCATCCTGCCCGGAGCAGCAATGAGGGCCAGGAAACCATACAGCTCTCCGAGGAGAATGTCAATCCAGGCAAAATCAAGTTGGGGCCAACGGATTTTGAGCTTAAGAAAGTGCTTGGCAAAGGTGGCTACGGCAAAGTATTTCAGGTGAGTTGCTACCAGAAAGCCAATTTGAACTTGTCAATAATGCTTAACCTTTCTCCCATAACAGGTGCGCAAAACCGCTGGACGTGATGCCAACAAATATTTTGCGATGAAGGTGCTCAAAAAGGCGTCCATAGTGACCAATCAAAAGGACACGGCGCACACGCGCGCCGAGCGAAATATACTCGAAGCAGTCAAGGTGAGATAATGACCAAGCCTCTGGGGTAGGAGAATATTAGTTGGAAAACAACAAGGTTGTTCGTTTCTCGTGTTCATTGGCTAAAAATATCCAAAAGAAATCATTTAGAATGCCATTCAAATCTATCTCTCTACATATTTCTGTATTGTTTCAGACAACTTAACAAACTATCTAACTATCCCAGTACATTTATAATTATATGTTTTTTACATAATAATTAAACTTTCTCTTATCTTACCCTTTCAGCATCCGTTTATTGTGGAATTGGTGTATGCCTTTCAAACAGACGGTAAATTGTATCTGATACTCGAGTATCTAAGTGGCGGTGAGCTGTTTATGCATTTGGAGCGAGAGGGCATCTTTCTGGAGGATACCACATGGTAGGCTAGTCGGTTCAGCTCCGTCCAACGGAAATCTAATCAAACATATATTGCTTACAGCTTTTATTTAAGTGAAATCATATTGGCTTTAGGCCATTTACACAAACTGGGCATCATTTATCGCGATCTGAAGCCAGAGAACATACTGCTGGACGCACAGGGACATGTTAAGCTAACGGATTTTGGTCTGTGCAAGGAGCACATACAAGAGGGTATTGTCACCCACACCTTCTGCGGCACAATTGAGTACATGTGCGTGCGCGCCCGCCAAGCCTTTCAATAATTGCTTAAGCTGTCGATTTTAAAAAACTAAACGCAAACTTTTGTATTTTATAGGGCTCCAGAAATCTTAACTAGAAGTGGCCATGGCAAAGCCGTCGACTGGTGGTCCCTGGGCGCACTCATGTTTGATATGCTCACGGGCGTGGTAAGAGCCATAAAAATATGACTCATCTTTGTCCCAGCCTAATGCGTCATGCGCTTCATGTTGCAGCCACCCTTCACCGCCGAGAATCGCAAGAAAACCATTGAGACCATACTTAAAGCCAAGCTTAATCTGCCAGCCTACCTCACACCCGAAGCCAGAGATCTGGTGCGGCGCCTAATGAAGCGGCAGGAGCCACAGCGTCTGGGCAGCGGACCCGAGGATGCGGCGGCGGTTCAGTCACATCCATTCTTCAAACATGTCAACTGGAATGATGTGGTAGCCCGACGCCTCGAGCCGCCCATTAAGCCGCTGCTGGTAAGCCAACAATTCGATATTAATGCCGAGCAATTAACTCATCAGATTTTATACGATTTAAACAGCGAAGTGAGGATGATGTCTCCCAGTTTGATACGAGATTCACAAGACAAATTCCCGTGGATTCACCGGATGATACAACGCTCAGCGAAAGTGCCAATTCAATTTTTCAAGTAAGTGCTAGGTGTAAGCTTATATTATGTCTTCCAAATGGGAGTTAAGTCAATCCTTATGCAGGACTAGTATAGATTTATGCGCTATGACCCTGCTATTCAGAGGCAGGCTAGGTTTATTAATAGAATTTTCTAAGATTTGATCCCTATTTCCAATTTTCCAACCTTAAGTATATGTAAATTGTTAAGCACGTTTCTTAGGTCAGTTTTAATGCTTTTTAGGGAGCAACCAGCAGGTAGGGAATTTCACAATAAATACTTTTCTTAAGTTAAGCTTAATGCTAGTCGGGCCAATCCTACAATCAGCGATAGTCGGCGCCGCATTCAAAGTGCGGCTCCTTTAGTGGTATGCCCGTGGGTCCGTCTGTGAACTCGCAGAAGTTGAGGCCAATGCGACGAAAGGGATGACACTTGCTCTTGGGATTGCCCCACTTGCCGCGATAGGTCAGCCAATCGGGCACCAAAGAGCGACCTGCTCCAAAAAAGAGATACGATTAATTAAAGCGAACAACTTTGCCAATCGCATACACACCATAGGAGCGCAGATTCTTATAGCTTATATCGACCGCCTTCCAAGTGTTCCAGGGCGTGCCAAAGCCATTAATATCGTACAGTCGGGCCACCTTAACGAAACGATGCTTGCCGGGCGCAGTCCACAGGCCATGGGAGCCCTTGGCGGCAAAGAGCACCGGATGATTCTTGAACGTGGTGACCGTTTTGGGAAAATTGGGACGCTGCAGGATGCCCTTTCGCGTCTCCTGGCGCCGAAACTCAAAGGAGCCAGTGAGGCGATTGTAGCTGTAGTAGGCGCCCGCATCGTGAGCGGAGACATACATGGCCTGCGGCTCGGCATCGCCGTTAAAGTACAAACTCATGTGCTCCCAGTCGCCCACATGACTGCCAATGTCCCGGCGGTGGCCCAGGCAGTAGCCGTAGACAGCCGGAAAGGGTATGCGGCCCAGGGGCCCCAGGCTCAGCGTGCACATCGTCTTGCCTTGGCTGTAGGGATAGAACATCCAATAGGTGACATGGAAGCCAGGCAGCTGTCCCTTGACCCGCTGCGTCTCTTGCGCTGGCGCATCGCCTATATTGTTATCCTCCAGATTGTCGTCCAGATCGACGCCTCCACTGAACTTGACATTGTCCGCCAGATTGGCTATAAAATTGTTCACTGGGATACCATTCTCCAACTCCGACTCCAGCTGCTGCTGCTGCTCCAACGTCGCAGGTTCAGGAAGCGCTGCGCCGGCTAACTGTGTCTCGCCCATGACCAGATCGTAGTCACTGAGCGGCCCATACTCTGGCATGCTGCCTGCCTCGCGCCTTACGCGCTGAAAAAGTGGAAAGAGTCGCGACGAACGTCGGACCGTCTCATTGCGTTCCTCCAGCGGATCAATGGACACCGGTATGTAGGGACCCCGTGTGCTGGCCAATGGTGACGGAGGCATGGCTTCGGGCTCGCGTTTGGCCGGACCGGGACACAGTGTGACCACGCCATAGATGGGCACTGGCGCCTCATTGGGATTACGGCCGTGGATGAACGATTGCTCGTTCTTGAGCAGATCCTCCATCTCGCCATTGGTCACCAGGTGTGATTTGGTGGAGTATTCGCTGAAGGGCACGCCCGGCGTAAAGCTGCGATCCTTGTCCATGGGATGCACATGCTGCAGAAACTCCTCAACGCCCAGTGGCATGAATTTTTCCTCCGGCGCCAGCCACACAATCGGTGCCCATTGCTTGATCAGGCGTTCAACTAGACGTAAGAGAGTGGAAAAACCAGATTAGCGCCATAAACTAAATTTTAATCAGCTCTCGGATACTCTGGCAATTACTTAACCCAGCTGTAAGCCCACACTCGCAATGCACACACGCACACACAGACATACGGGAGCTGCTCTACGTCTAGCTCTAAATTTGTTCGTTTTCCAAATTCAGGTGTAATAAATTTCACTTTCACACACTTGAAGCGGCCACCCAAAAAGTTACCGTACCGACAATTTGTTGCCCTTTCCCCACCCCCCAGCCCAGCCGTTAGCTACCTCGCACCCAGTTGTTGTGCAGCGGCTAATTTGCAATTTAAACACTTGCCAAAGCCTCTGTTTGTTATCGTTGTTTTGGGCTTTGGCTACAACTGTTCCATATAAATACGCGTACGACGGGAGCCCCGCTAGCGTGTAGGCCCCACCGACATCGATCATCTAAGTAAATCATGTCGAAAATTTCACTTCAATATTAAGTGAACAAAACTAGATAAAGCGACTTTTAGTTGCTCTAGAAAAAGTGTAGACTTTGAAATTTCTTGCATTTCCTCTATTTTATGGTGTTCTTCCTCTTTCCGCTCACATGCTCTCTCTGCTAGTTTTTCTCTTGGTCAATCTCCCTCACTTGTTTTCTCACTCCCATTTGCTCTTAGTACTTAGTAAACATTAAAACTTTTAAGACTTACTTTACTTCATGAAAATCGCATAGAAAGGCGATGTTGGAGAGTTGTGAAAAGGGAGAGAGTTTATTATATAAATTACTCTTTTGTTAACTCTATTAAGTGTCGCCTTTCTATGTGATTTTCAAAATTATAAGTAAATCTGATAAAATTTGATGTTTATTTAGCATGAGGGCAGAGTAAAAGTGTGAAAGCTAATTAGAGTAAGAGATAAGGTGAGGGAAAGGTATATAAAGAGAGTGAGTAACAAAGTAATTGTGAAAGAAAGTCAGGGACAGACCACAGCGAAGCAATTGTTTATGTTTTCTTAAATCATCGTCTTGTTGTTATTTGAGGACATGAGAATCGCATAGAACGGTCCCCATTTAGGTAACGATTACCATCAGCTAACAGTGAATGAACAGAACAAAAGCTTTCCTTTTCTTAAATAGCAGAGCATGCAAAGTTGGCAATACCCAAACAGTTAGGGTATATGAAATACGCCTAACAGCTGATTAGCTGCGTCCGTAGCTGTTGTTGTTGATTTCGTTGTTGTTGTTACTGCTAATAGATACCGTATGCATACCTACTTCTTTATCTAATGCCGTTATTTGAGCATATTGCAATGTTTGTTGTTGTTGTTGTTGTTGCTGCTGTTCATAGGCGACGGTGGAGGCCTCGTTGTTGTTGTTGTTGCTGCTATCGATGAAAGTGCCAGTACCGTCAGTTGCATTTAAAAGTCTTGTTGTCGTTTTTGCAGTGCTTGTTGCAGCAACAGTCGCTGGCAGCAGTTGCTGTTGCTGTTGCTGTTGTTGGGGCAGCGCTGTCGCCATCAGCAGCAGCAACGAGAGTGAATTTATTTTCAACAGCTTGGACATTTTATTTAAAAAAAGTCTTAGTTGTAACTGTCTGTGGTTGTTGTTGTTGCTTTTGCTTAAATACAATGGTTGAACAAAGCGTGGCTTTTATTTTAGCGGCTACCAGCAATTTGTTGTTGCTGCTGCTGTTTTCACACAATTCGATTGTTTGCCAATTTTTATTATAGATTTCTTGCACATGTTTTTTAGTTGTTGTTGTTAGCAGTTTGTTATGTGTGACTTGTTTTATTATTTAAAATTATGCAATTTCACACAATCGCGCACAGTTTTAAAGCATTTCCGCACGCACTGTTTGCCAGCCCTAGCAGTTTGACAAGCGCTGTGGCAACGTTGACGTCTGCTGCGGCTGCGACTGCGCTGCTGGCAAACGGTTCTTGTCCCAATTACAAGCACGCGACGCCGACGCCAACGTTGCTGCGCTCTCGCTTTCTGCACGTGCGTCTGCGCCTCGCGCTCGCTCGCTCTCTCTCTTTCTCTCAGCTGTTGTTGTTGTGACTGCAAGCACTTGAACTGGTTTGATATTTGGACTCCGGCCCTTTTGTCTCACCGAACCCGATAGCCCTGAAAGCCAAATGATGCGATGCGCCGCAAGGTCCAATCTCAACCTCATCCAAGTCCAAGAATGAATGTCAATGCGTTTGCATAGTGAAATTAATGTTTAAGCTTTTTGCAAATCCCAGCTAAGCCTTTCTCCAAAACGTCACGACTGCGCCTAATAAAACCGTATAAAATCGCAGGTGTCGGGCCGAGGGAGGTAGGAGAGGGGGAGCAATGCGCTTGAAATTTTTTTACACGACACGAAAGTTGGATTTTTCTTTTGGCTTCTACTTCTTCAGCCCGGCTATCGTGCGCACAGTTTAAGCGTTTCTTTGCGACTGGCCAACGAACGTGACTGAGAAATGGCCCTGGTTAAAGACGCAGAGAGTTGCGCTAACTGTTGTTGTTGTTGCTGCTGTTGTCGCTGCCGCTGCTGGCTCTGGCCAACGAGCAGCTAATTGCAGCTCATGAGCAGCCAAAACTGTATTGTTGTTTTTGCTCGGTTTATTTGTTTATAAAATGCGTTACGCTTGGCTTTCGGCGGACCTTTTCGGTTTCTTGTGTTTGTTTTTGTATTAATAGTGCGGTTTGTTTTGGCCAATTGTTTAGAGTAGTGCTCAGAGTGCTGTAATTTTTAACAGCATTAATTTATATTTGCTATTGAAAGTCACTGGACAGCTTGGGAGGCAGTGCACAGTTTGATTTTTACTATATAAACATCCTCATAAGCAATTGTTAACAGTTGCACATGCACTGCGTTCGCTTGTAAGCAAAGCTTAAATCGCATTGCAATAACTCTCAAACTGTATGTTTTGGAATGTTATGTGTATCACTGTACAGTTTGATGTTTATTGAAAATACGTATGTCCTTATAAGCATCGTTAACAGTTACCGTCGCTTGCAACCTGCTTCGTTCTCTTTCTTATAAGCAAAGCTTTAGGCAATGCCTCGCCAACTGTTGTTGGCACCTGCCGTGTGCTAATTGGAAAATTCTTGTTACAATTAGAACCTCTTTATGGGTAATTATTAGGAGCTTTCTCATGGCACGCCCGCGACTTTAGTGGGTCACTGCGGCGACTGGGGTGGGTTGTAATGCATTGTGATATGATCAGCTCCCAAATCGAGGCTTCAATTATAATTGCGCTCACGTACGGCTTTATTCCATTTCCAATTCAACGCGTCACGCGTTTGTGCAGCCTCTGCCCCAAGCGCTGTGGCGTGCCGGATGAATTTACACGCCAGCCGACGGCGTGTTTAATTATTTTATTGCATTTGTAGTATCCAAGTTTTTTCTTTCTTTTTGTTTATTATATTATGGTTTTGAGATTTCGTCAAATTTTAATTAGTGTCTCTCACGCTGGCTGCTAACCAAAATTATGCAAAATGTGTTACATAGGCGGCAGTTGGGTCAGTCCATTGGCTGGCTTGCATAATCCGTGCTGTCCATATGGCTGGGCATGATTAGTATGCGCCAGGGTAGTCCCTGGTACTGGCGGTTGGCGGGGTACTGAACCAGGGCAACGGGGCTGCTCCAAATTCAATTGCGCACGCGATCAGGCAAGTGGGTCGCATTGGAAACGGAAATGGAATTGACAGCTGGAAAAGCCGACAAACTGCGGAGAATTTTACTAATGGAAATATTTACAGGGTTTCACCTACGTAGCGCCATCGATACTGGAGGATATGCATCGGGCCAATCGGATGCCGGCGCGCTCGCCACGACGCACACTGCGACAGCATCAGCTGCCGGATAACAGCTTTCGGCTACAGTTCCCGTCCGCGAATGCGAATGTGGGCGCCAATGTGCCCATGGCCATGCAGCGGTCAACGTTGTTTGCCCGTGCCACGCCCCCACATCAACAGCACCAGCATCCGCATCCGCATCATATGCAAACATTTGCGCCGCGCCCATCGCCAGCGCAGGACGAGATGATGGATGTGCAGCAGGGACTGCCCATGGTCTAAGGTTACTATTGGATGTGGTGCCAAGGAGTCAACGAAGGCTAAGCGAATGGAGTGAAAATTGTTTTTGTTAAAGGAGAGTGACAGAGAGGGAGTGGCGAGAGAGAGAGAGGGAGAGAAAGGAGAAATCGCGTGCTACGATGAACGTTTTGTTTGGATATACATAAATACTAAAGTTAGAGACATACGCAAATACTATACTATAACATAACATATGCTATTGCTATAGCCAACTATATAGAATAACTATATACATACATAACATATATATATATGCATAACAACATATATATGTCTGTAGATTGTGAGACACTGAGAGTAGCTAGCTGGAGCGAGTTCCGGATCGTGTATAAATATTTATCAATTACTGATTATGTTTTATACTTATATAGGTAAAAGGTTTACACAATTTAGTTCAAATGTACACTTTAAACTTTTTTGATTTTTTATATATACACATATACTACTATATACATGCTATACACGCAAAGAAACAATATAATAATATATATGTTAGATACAAACACATACTTAACCAACAACATCAACAACAACAACAATAACAACTATTATTATTAATTATGTTGATTGCTTGAGTTCTATTATTTGTGTTAATTCTATTCTTAAATGCACACAGAGAGCCACAACAAATATGATTATGAAACAATTATGAAAACAATTTCTGTTTAGATTCGAGCTTTAAATTCTTGTCTAGCCATTTAGTAATTTTGATGAACCTTTGTGTACAGTGACCACCTAGTATATAGGACGAAAAAGAAAGGAAAGAAACAAAACAAAACCAAGAAAACACCATACAACAATTAAAACAATAATATAAATAATTATGTTAATGATACAAAACGATTAATTGATAATAATAAAAAGGAATATATGAAGCTAAATTAAATGCAAAGGTTTCCCAGCGTGAAAGTCGTAAATCGCATGTTGCATAAGCCAATACATTATTTTGTTCATTTGTCGTCTGTTTGTTTGTTTGTTTGATTGTTTGTGTTTATTTGATAGTTTGTCCTAATGAAGAAAACTCGCTTTCGGTTGCTGCAACTTTCTATGTTATTTCACTTAAGAGCGGTTCGAACGTTTACACTATAAAAATAAGGCATTTCTTAAAACAAGGCGGCAGCGACAAAATATGCAAAAAACATAAAAAGAAAGTCCTTGATGCTATAATAATTTGTTAAAATCCATTTACCGCGTACTGAGAAGCTAAACGCTGCCACAACAACAATAAAAACAAACAAAAACTAAAAGAAAACAAAAGTAAACTTTAATACAAATTAATTATAATAGATATGTACAATTAGAGTCGTGTATGTACTTTGATTATATTTTGTTTCAATTGTTCTTATATTTTTTTTTTTTTTGTAATTTTATCTAAATATTGATATTTGCAAACATTAACAAAAGTAAAAGAAAAAAAATCGCAAAAAAAATGGTAAAACATAATTGAAAACACAATGTCAAATATAATCAAAAGGTGCTTTGAATTGTTTAAAAAGACAAGACAACTACAATACAAAAAGAAAACATAAAACAAAAACAAAAAAAAAAAAAAAAAAAGAAGAGAAAAACAAAAACAAACTATGGAAAACGAGAACGACTAAAACAAAATAAAATGGTTATATGTGTATAAAAACATATTTATATAAACAAAAGAAGAAAATACCTCAGAAGCAATTATTTTTGTTAAAAGAAAAAAAGAAGAAGAGAAACAGCAAAACCAACTAAATTATAATACGAGCTAAATGAATAAGAAACAAACAAAAAACAAATATTTTGCCACAAATATTTGTATGCGATTTAAGAGAAAAACAAAAAACAAGAAAAACACAAAAAAAAAAGAAGAAAGTATATATTAATATTATAATATAAATATACATATATTTTTTGAATTGTAATACCTTTTCTGTTTATGTTTTATATGGTTTACGAATTTCTTTTGTAATTTGCATTATTTTCAATTTTGTTATTCAACAATAACAAAACGAATTAACAACAAATGGAAAAACAAATTTCATTGCGGCGCCTGCAAATTGAATAAGAAATGTCTTATTTTCTTTGTTAGTGTAGCCCGGCAAAAGAAAAACAAAGAAACCAAAAGAGAACGAATATTTGAATTGTGCTAAAACTTAAGTAATATATTATATGTATAAATAAAACGAAACTCGATGTTAAACAGCTGAAGAAGTAACTAACATGAGACCCAAGCAACACCCAAGAATGATGAAACACTGCCTACATGAAATGGAAACAACAACAAAAACAACAACAAACTAGCAACAAATTACAAACAATAAAACAAAGAGCAAATAAATGAATTTAAAACAAATATGATAGACAGAAACAAAACAAAAAAACCAAAACAAAATAAATTAAAGTCAAACAGTTACAGTTTGTATTCGTAGATAGCCAAGTTAAACAATTGAGACAAAAGCCCAGCAAACAAACAAGAGGAAGAGACACACACAGTCTTAACAAAATATATATATATATACAAAATCAACAACAAATAGAAACTTCGCATAGATTCTGTAGCTGCGATCTGCATACTAAATATACCGAAAGTTAAGCTATTTGTACAGTTCACAGAGCTAATTAATTACGCAACTAATTAAACGTTTGGGTGACTGGCTCAAAAAAATATAATTATATGAAAACAAAAAACAGTTGAAAACAAACGCAAGTTCACTGTCAATAAAATTATTTCAAAATTGCGCCAAACACGCGATCACATTGGCAATTGGCAAATGTTGGCCTAATAACAGTTATTTTGTAAGTGCGCCAGACATGTTAGTAACTAATTAAGCGCGTTTAATTACTAGAACGAACGACATTAGCAAAAAGAAAAGAAAAAAAAAAAACAGTTCTTGCAACTTGTGGCCATAGGAAGAGGAAGAAGTTGGGGTACAAACTAATGGATTTGCTGCTGCCAAAATGGAAGACAACGCAGAAATCCAAAAAACCACAAAAAAATTAAATAAAAAAAAAAAGAAGAAAACTGACAACTAATAATGCAAACAGCAACAGATCCTAGTTAATTAAATTGTACATTTTTATTATCATTAAGGTTTAAGTGCAGTGCATAATATAAATATACATCAGACTACACACATATATACACGCATATATATGATGGACAACAACAACAACAACAAATGTATATCGTAATAAATTCAAACTAAATTTTACAAAAAAAAAACTAAAAACTATTTTTTAGTTAATTGAGAACTCAGCTGTTGAATCCAACTCCCCTCTCTTTCTATATTATTTTTGTATCCATCGCCATTTCACGAGAATTAAGCGCAAGGTTTGATTGGGGCTTGTTTTAATATTTTGTTTTTCCCTGATTTTGCTTTTCTCTATAATGGAGGTGTTCCGAGAATATATATATATATATATAGACATTTAACTGAAAAAAGTTCTTTGTTTCTTATGCAATTTATTCTTAAGTTGTTCAACATTTGGGCATGCATATTTAACAATAAGACACCATTCCTCAATTACCTGAGCTTTTATTCAAGTTTGGATTGAGCTACAGCCAAATTTTAATGGCACTATTAAGGAATATTATTGTTTCTGAGCTCCGAAACCAACTATAAGTACTACTAAGGCCTTCAGCTAAGGCATCACTCGCCAAGGATTCGAGCCAGCATGCTTCCTTTTCATTAGCTCAAACTTGGACTACTATTCTACCAAGCAGACTGCTGCATAGTTGAGTTCTGCAATCGCTCCCAAACTGTAATTCCGCATAACTACCGCATTTCTATGGCGTCTTACATGGAGTCACACCCCGTGAAATCTTAGCGGCCCATTCAGACACGCAGCTGGCGTTGATTAGCATAAGCAAATGCCAAAAAAGTTTTGCACAGTTGCCAATAAGGCAAGGAAATGGAAAATAAAACAGGCAAAAAAGCGAAAGTATGTTAACATAAATCGATCGAGGTAGCTGCTTGAAAGTCAGGCACAGCTATTTTTAAGCCGTAAGGCGAAACCGCAAGGACGAGTCGCGCCTGCCACCGAATGCTGCATTGAAAGCGGAGCTGCCCGTGCGCTCCACCCAGGACCTGTGCCCAATTGGATTGCCAGGTGACATACACTCACACACACACACACACACACCCACACACAGAGGCGCAGCTGCCCTGGCTACCACACACACATAGAAGCCCACATGGACATTGACATGGCAGCATAATAATAATAAATACCGCTAGGCAACCGTAAATTCCTTAGCATGAATCGATTTAACTAACCCACACCACGCCTCGAGGAACAGCCAGCAGCAGGAGCGGCAGCTGCAGCTCAGTAGCAGTTGAAGTCGTTACAGAATCGGACAGAGACAGCCGGGTCGTCAGGTACTCCATACTCTAGCTCAACCGAAAGCAAAGTGTGCCAGTCGAAAAACTTACTGAAAGAAAAAACTCTCCCACACACACCTACACAGGCTGTGCATAAGGAATTGCATACGTAACAGTTAATTGCGCATTCGATTAAATCTTACGCAATATATATATATTTTATATTTAACCAAGCGGAATACTGTGAGAGATTCAGTGTAAGAGGCAGTGCATCCTTATCGATCATGTTGCCGAATTTGAAGCCACGTCGCATAACGGGCCTGCAGCTGGCCAGCAAGCATTTGGGTCCGGTGGCCAAGTGCCCGCCCAGATACTCGGAGGAGGATTGGGACTATAACAACAAGATCAAGTTCCGGATCACCTGCGACCAGGAGAAGCTCGCCGAGCGCATTGTCGAGTGAGTATTGCAGCTGCAGCACCAGACCAACTGCATGGCTTTCTCTGTGCCTTTCAGGGAGTCGCGTCGCGTGGTCGATGAGACGAAGGACACCACCAAGAACTGGCAGCGCGAGGTGGAGCATCATATGCGCGAGCGCACCAGCGAGATACGCTTCCTGGTCGATGAGCTGAATCGCCAGAAGAAGACGGCCGCTCTGGAGGATGAGACGCTGAACACGTATCGTAATCGTGTACTGAATGCCATCGAGTTTTTCAAGGAGAAGTCACTGGCCATATGCAAGCAGTGCCTGATCTTGCGCGAGGGTCGCATTGGCGTCGATCTCTGCGACGATGAGGTGGATCGCTCGCTGCGCCGCGAGCTGAAGGTCATCAAGGGCTGCCAGGGCCTGGCCGATGCTGCACTTAAGGAGGCCGAGGAGCAGATACGCAAGCTGCGTGCGGCCATGTATCTGCTGGACCAGGATCTGGCAGCCAAGGACAAGTCACTGGCAATTGACGAGAAGAATCTGAAGCTAAAGGAGTTTCAGCAGGACCTTGGCAAAGGTCAGGATTTGTCCAAGCAGCACTGGTAGGTCAGCAGCTGTATTAACAACCATCAGGCCTTTAACTATTCCAACTCCCATCCCCGAAGCCAATTCTCGCTGACCGAGTGGCAGGCTCAGACCTATGAGAATCTGGAGGCAAATGCCAAGGCTTTGGTGTCCGCCGGGCAGCTGCGTGCCTACATTGATCTGCTGCTGAAGCAGGTCTGTGAGGACATGCAGAACCAGACGGATCGCACCAATGAGGCCTTCGAGCGTCGCATCGCCGAGACAAAGCACGTGAAGCAGTGCCTGGAGAACAAGCATAAGGATACCATGGATCACATCCATCAGGTGCAGCGCAACATGAACGAACTGGAGCGCGAGATGTCCGACAAGCAGCGCGCCATCACACTATGCCAGACGCGCCTCAGCAATCGTGCCCATCGGCCAGGTCTGGAGCTGACCTGTGACATGGTCCAGGACGCGCTCTACAATGAGCTGCAGGCCCTTAAGGCCTCCGTCTGCAAGCTGAACCAGAAGCTGAACGAGAACAAGGCATCCATGCGCTATCTCATGCATGTCCAGGTCATGCAGGAGGAGGAGATCAACATCAAGGCAAACAGCTGCAAAATAGACGAGGTCGACTGCATGACCCTGCGCCAGGCACTCAAATACACATCGTTCTAGTCCTTCCACTAGTCCACTTCGACCAGTTCTCCACACACCATAACTTAATCAAATTCAAATTTAAATTGCATGTGCATTACCAAATTATCAACATGTGCATGGTTAATAAATTGAAATTCACTCCAAGTTCCAATTATGCAAGCAGGATTTTATTCGCATTTGACACGCTACTGAAATATTCACAAATATGGGGCGGAGATGGTTTTTTATACCAATTTCTTATGAGCCTTTTAATTCTTCTATGATATATTTCATTCAATTCTTAAATAAGTTATAAATATTAACTCTATATTTGATTAGTTAACTAACATACGAGTAGTATAGCATTAAGAATATGTTGCACGTTTTTTCTTACTTATAAACATCAATTTAATTTAATATAATATGTTTATTGGAATCTTCAAAAGTGCCAAAAGTGACTTCCTAACAATATTCCACCCGTTTTCCGACCGTGGGCGTGATTTATACAACTTGAATCAAACTATCGCCCAGTCAGTAGAGTTAATATATAAATTGAGCTATATATATATATATCAGTTAAGTCTATATACATACAATGCGATAGTGGTACTATGCTCTACACAGATTTATCTTAGCCAATGAGAGTCTCTTTGCATACGTGATTTTTGAGAACCGTTTTGAAAATCATCGAACAGTGCTGACAGCTATGATAGTCTTTGGAAGCGTGACGCTTGATGTGGTTATTGAGATGGGGCTTCTGCATAAAGTCCATCGGGCAGTGCGGACACTTGAACGGACGTTCGCCCGTATGACTGCGGATATGCTTCTGAGCATCTGAATGATCTGTGAAGGCCATCGGGCAATAGGAACACTTGTAAGGACGTTCGCCTGTATGAATGCGGATATGCCTACGAAGATTTGAACGAGTGCTAAAGACCTGCAGGCAGTGGGGACACTCGTTCCTATGAGTACGCATATGCCTATTAAGGGTGCCTTTTTCGTCAAAGGTCTTCCAGCATTGCATGCACTCGTACGTAGTTTTATCCGTGGTCTGCATGTGGTCCGTAGCTTTCTCGCCTGGGGCAACTAAGCAGCTGTGAGGGACGGGAGGTTTTTCGGTCAGGTTGCGCATTTGCTCCTTAAACATAGGATAGTTGGCTTGACTAGCATCTGTGCCTTCTTGCACCATATCTGTTTGGCTCAGTTGTTCCTCCATCTTCGGGCGATTCAATTCTGTGTCACACCCAAAAAATATGTTAGTTTCTATTTTAACACAAGAATCTTTGTTCAACCGTTCCCAAAGCAGCTGGTGGCTCCTTTCACATTTTCGCTTGAATCTAAATGCATTCACAGTGTCGGAAATACAGGAATGGCAAATCATTTTAGGTAATGGATCATTTGGGTTGATCTCACAGTCGACGCACTCGGTTAGCATTTCCGCCAGGCTGGGTTCCTCCCTTGGCAGCTGGCACTTGGAAAATATCTCCTCAAGGGGTTCAGTGCTACTCAGGCAAACTCTGCAGAGTTCTTCCATGTTTATTTACAATTAAAATGAGTACAAACTGACCAAATTTACTGCTCTCGCATAAGCTTGATAAAATCGATTTGTGGCTTGCAAGTATCGATACATAAGGAAAATTACTTTTGCTGGTCACACTCTGTAGCTTGTATTTTTCGAAATGTCTCATTTAACGGAAATCAATATAGCTTCTAATAATTGTTTACAAATGTTTATTTTGAAAATGTTCCCACCTCTTTCAGCAGCTGATATATAAACACATACAATTATAAAAAGTTAATCGTTTAAAGAGTGATTATAAAATATTGACAAGCCCGCATTTCAACTTACATTATCAACGGTAGTTGATTGTTTTGAGTTGTCTTCAGGGGCTTTTTCTGTGTGATCGAGAAGGTGATATTTGATATGCAGCATTCGGGTGAAGCTCTTCGGACAATGGGGACATTGGTATGGACGCGAACATTCTTCTGCATGAAGGCGAACATGCCTTTGCAGGTTTGAGGGATTATTGAATGTTTTCGAGCAATAGGAACAAATGAATGGACGTTCGCCTGAGTGAATGCGTATGTGCGACTGTAAATTCGTGTTATTTTTGAAGGCTTTCGGACAGTGTGGACACGCGAATGGACGTTTTCTCGAGTGACTAAGCATGTGCTTCTTCAGTTGATAGCTTAGCACAAACACTTTTGGACACTCTTGACACTTGTAAGCACTCTCGCGCATGTGAATGCGCATGTGCGCTTGCAGACTCGCAAGCCTTTTATATGATTTCGGGCATTGCGTGCACACAAATCGACGGTCTTCTGTTCGATGGTAAACTGCGTGCTCAGTCATCAGAGCCATGTCAGCGAATACCTTGCCACAGATTCTACAGCGATGATTACTTTCGGTGGCGTCAGCTTCAACAATGTCCGAAGTGCCCGGCGAAAGTTGTTCCTCCTTAAAACTACTGCATTGAGGCAGCATGCTGTTTTCTTCGAAGTTATCTTCCCAGCTTTCCGGCATAGGTGTCTCTAGCTGCTCCTCCTTCACGCACGCCAGTTCCATGCTTTCACATGCTGCCAGGTGCCAATCATCAGCTTTTATAGTTTGACTGCCCTCTCCGTTAAGCAGCCGACAAAATTGCTGATAACTCTGTTCGCATGTGCGTTTAAATTTGAATGCGTTTTGGGCATCAAGAACGCAGGACAAGCAAATCTGTTTTGGGAATGCATCATCTGGCTTTACCTCACAGTCGACGCATTCATTTAGCATCTCGGCTAGGCTGGGTTCCTCCTCCGGCTGCTGTCGCTCGGCAAATATTTCCACAAGCGTGACACAGCTGCTCATGCAAACTCGACAAACTTGTTCCATTTTTGTTTACAATTTAATAGAATAAAACTCTTTGTGGCCGACTGATTACATGCTTATAAACAATGTGTGGTATCGATACATCGATGTACTTGCTGGATGCTGTCATGTAAACTGAACTAGTATGTGCAACTATCGAACCTGTTGGACGATTAGAATCAAGCCCAAGTTATCGGTAAGCCGCCACAGTCTATCGTATACAATGCAACTCTTTACACAGCTAGCAATTAGTAGAAAACTCCTTTAGATTTCTGCCGCTTTGTTGAGTTATTAATTAATGTTAAGCTAAAAAGTGTACAAACCAGAAATTAAGGTAAATAACATTGTCCGTCTGTCCATTTGGGTCGCCCCCTCTTACATGTGTGTGCCTTCTTGCAGCTGGCAGCGTCCGCCGAGCAGCACACAGCAAAATGGAGTACAGCCACAGCCACGAAACTCGAAAATCAATAATAGAGAAAAACGAAATTAATAGTTTATTGCGCTTTTTTCTTGCTTTAATTGTTGTTGCAGTTTAGAAATTATGTCAAAACGCAGTGCTGACGATGCCAGTGGCACCGGCAGCGGAAGCAGCTGTTTGGTGGCTGCGGCGGCCGCTGGTCAGCCGCCCATCAAGAAGGTGCACTTCGAGCCACACTTAATTGGGCCGGTGTCGACGTTGGAGGAGATGGATATCAAGGTGTTAGAGTTTCAGAACAAGAAACTCGCCCAGAGAATAGAGCAGCGAATGCGATGTGAGGCAGAGCTGCGGCATCGCATTGAGCAGCTGGAGAAACGTCAGACGCAGGATGATGCGGTTCTTAACGTAGTGAATAGGTATTGGAATCAGCTGAACGAGGACATACGGGTGCTGTTGCAGAGATTTGACGCCGAAACGGCCGATGAGCTGGAGAACAAGAACGAGAACGAGGTGACCACCTCGTTTCTTACACAGCTGTCCACCTGGGACAAGGAGGAATTGGACGAAAAGCTGGCCAATCGTGTTCAGGTCTCTAAGCGCGCGGTGGCGAAGATCGTCCAGGTTATTGATAGGTTAATGCAACGTAACGAGAAGATAACGCATGTATTGAAAGGTGATGGTCTGGCCGGTGCAGGGGCGCAGGGAACGACAGCTGGCGGTGACGAGGAGCAGCAGTCTACCTCCGGTGCGGAGTCAGATGCGGCATCAACGGGGGTGGGGGTGCACGCTCTGGAAGAGACGTTAAAGAAGACTCATATTGAGATTATGACGGAGAATCACAACCTGCAAAACCTGAACACGTCCCTGCACGAGAAATTCCACACAATGTCGCTGAAGATGAAGGAGTATCAGGATGCGCTCACCGCCAAAGAGACGGAAAACGCTGAACTCAAAAACCAAATCGATGAGCTGCAATATGACCTGGAGAAAATACATTGTCGGAACGATAAGCTGGAGAACCATCTGGCTGAGGCCATTGAGAAGCTTAAGGCATATCATCAGATCTACGGGGATCCCAACAAAAGCAGCAACAGTGCCAAGACGCCCAGCAGCGGTGTGGGCTCCGGTGGTGGAGGTAGTGCAACGACCAATGTGAATAGTCAACACCTGGAGGAGCTGCAGAAGGAACTAGAGGAGCATCGCGAGCTGGCCAACAATCGGTTACAAGAGCTGGACAAGTTGCATGCCACACATCGCGAAACACTCAAGGAAGTGGAGAAACTTAAAATGGATGTAAGAAGTCGCCGCCAGATGTATCCAGCCAACAGCTAATCCTCTAATGCTTGCTTTTATTGTAGATCCGCCAGCTGCCAGAATCGGTCATAGTGGAGACAACAGAATACAAGTGCTTGCAGTCGCAGTTCTCCGTGCTCTACAACGAGTCCATGCAGATCAAGACCATGCTGGACGAGACGCGTAATCAGCTACAGACCAGCAAGAATCAACATCTGCGCCAGATCGAGGTGATGGAGAGCGAGGAGCTCATTGCTCAGAAGAAGGTGCGTAGCGAGATGATCCAGATGGAGGACGTGCTGGCGCTCATACGAAAAGAGTACGAGGCGTTGCGCATTGAGTTCGAGCAAAACATGGCCGCCAACGAGCAGACGGCGCCCATCAATCGCGAAATGCGGCATCTAATCACGTCGCTACAGAACCACAACGGTCAGCTGAAGGGGGAGGTGCAGCGCTACAAGCGCAAGTATAAGGACATCTCCACGGACAATGTAAAGCTGCGAAAGGAGCTGGATGAGGCGCAAGCCAAGCTCGAGGGCAACAAGCAGCAACAGCAATCGGCGGCCGCGGCGGCAGGTGAGGAAGTTAAACAGGAATCAGCAGCCAACGTCAAAGAGGAGAATGCTAACAACGCTTCAGCCGGCGGCGCGACGTCCATGAACACAGCCTCCAATGCAAGTGGCGACGCCAATATGGTCATCAAAGAGGAGAACTCGGCCTCTGCCGAGGATGACCTGGATGACGAAGCCAGCGGTAAAGATGTCAAGGACCCAAACATTAAGCAAGAAAAGCTGTCAGCCAGCGAAGCCGCAGCAGCTGAAAAAAAGGATTCGCCCGGACCGGCGAATTCAACAGCAGCAACAGCTGGCACAGCAAATGCAGTTAAAGCTGAAAAGGATACCAAGGACGGCATTAAGGCAAAGGAACTAAAGGCCGTGGAAAGTGAAACCGTGCGGGATCTAAAAGCGCAACTCAAGTAGGTGCCCACTTTGGGTTGAAGATCGCCCTTTATTACCATCTATTATTTACAGAAAAGCGCTGAACGATCAGAAGGAAATGAAGCTGCTACTGGACATGTACAAAGGAGTCTCGAAGGATCAGCGCGACAAGGTGCAGCTGATGGCCACCGAGAAGAAGCTGCGTTCTGAGATCGAAGAGCTGCGACAACAGCTGAAAAAGCTGCAGGAGAGCAAGCGAGAAGAGCGCAAGAAACTGGCCGATGAGGAGGCACTGCGGAAAATCAAGCAGCTGGAGGAGCAAAAATACGAGCTGCAAAAGCAGGTGGCCAATCACAAACCCACCGAGAATACCTGGGGCGCTGCGCCGGGAGGTGGACCCGGTGGCCCGAACTACACTCGTCCGTTTGTCGGCTCCCATGAGGAGGAGGCGTTGCTAAACGAGATGGAAGTGACTGGCCAGGCGTTCGAGGACATGCAAGAACAAAACTCAAGGCTTATTCAGCAGCTGCGCGAAAAAGACGATGCCAATTTTAAGCTGATGTCCGAGCGGATCAAGGCAAACCAGCTGCACAAGCTGCTGCGCGAGGAGAAGACTGTGCTGGAAGATCAAATGACCACAGCGACGACTCAGATCGAAGCCATGCACATTGTGTTGCGCAAACTGGAAGAGAAGGAGCGCAGCCTGCAGGCCACCGTCGCGTCTATTGAAAAGGAGCTGATGCTGCGCCAACAGGCCATGGAAATGCATAAGCGGAAGGCCATCGAATCGGCGCAATCGGCAGCAGACCTCAAGCTGCATCTGGAAAAGTATCATGCCCAAATGAAGGAGGCCCAACAGGTGGTCGCTGAGAAGACTAGCTCGCTGGAGGCGGAGGCGTACAAAACGAAGCGGTTGCAGGAGGAGCTGGCACAGTTCAAACGGAAGGCGGAGCGCATGAAGAAGATGGAAATGTCGGGCACAACCATCGACGAGGTGATGATCGAGGAAATACGCGAATACAAGGAGACACTCACGTGTCCCTCGTGCAAGGTGAAGCGCAAGGACGCCGTTCTCTCCAAATGCTTCCATGTCTTCTGTTACGACTGTCTGCGGACGCGATACGAGACGCGGCAACGGAAGTGTCCCAAATGCAACTGCGCCTTTGGCGCCAACGATTACCATAGGCTTTACCTGCAATAGGAAGCAGGACAGACTATCGATCATGAACACCGAACGTCTACATACAAGCCAGCTAATCCATTACGAGCATATTATCTATGTACTATTAATATATATATATATATAATTGTTTTTAAGTGTCGCCCCTATGCGACTCCCCTTTGTATCCCTTGTATACCTTGCGGCAATTATTTGAATTTTTCATTGTGGCCCCAAGCATCTCATAAGTTATGAGTTCCGAGTGATATTCTCCCGGGTTTTTATGTAGCTTCTAGATTGAAACTAAATCGTACGAACTTTAATAAATGGCTATCAATTATTTTCAATAGCATTAATACAACAATATTCAGCACAATTGTGTTCTTGACAAGTCGTAACGGGTCAGAATAGCTAATTCTACTTGTATATAAGCCGTTAAATTCTAAAACATTTCTGTTTAATGTATTGACTTTCACATCGTGTTTAAATCTTCCTTAGACTTTTAGTTTTAAGCAAGCTTATACGTTTTGCGTGGGCATCTTCCAATCTTTTTCCTATTAAAAAAATAATTGAAAGCCTCAGCAAGGGATGAAGGAGGTACACAACTCGTTTTAAAACTAAAATCTTGTCCAACAGTTACACTGAATCAACTAAGAAAATAAAAAAATTTAGTTACATTATTAGTTAACAACTTATTAACGTTCAATTCGAAAAGAATTCCATTTCTAATTGAAACTCATATTCAAAAACTACAAACTGGCGCGAAATAATTAATATTCGAGCGCATATGGGCAACACTCTTGTTAAATTCAAAATATGCGGCAATTTGGTGCAAGCGATACAAAGGTCACACTGTTCGCCGGCTAGCCGGCGTCTGTAGTTTAACATGCTGTTATTGAGACACTTAACATTATGTTAGCTGCAACAGCCAGCAGCAATACTGTAAACAGTTTCGTCGGTGTTGTTGGCCCGTGTGGGCGCGTTTCGGTATTGTCCTGTGCGTCGCGGCATTTCGACTGAACGGGTTTTCGCGTTGAAGCCTTTGAATGTGGCCCGAAATAAAAGTGCAACGTTTTCAAATTAATCGATGTGCCGTCCAATTTAAATTGTATTGCTGCTGCCTGCCTGCAAGTCGCTTGTGGCTAAGACAACAAATTTTTGCTAAAGCCATCGATTTTTCGCGCTGTTTAAACGCGTCTCCCTGCGTCTGAGTGTGTGTTTGTGTGTGTGTACGTGAGTGTATTAGTGTGTTGCGAGGACCTTTTGAAATACATACATAATTATAAAACTCAGGCAAGACACAGGCTGACAAAGGTCCTGACGCAGCAGCGCGCCATTGAAAAGTTCTGCCCAGCTGCTGCCTGTGCAGCTGCCAGGCTAAAACAACTACAACTACAACTACAGCAACAATGCCCATTCACCTGGCCTTTTGAACGTGCGTATGTGTGTGTGTGTGAGTGCGTGTTATATTTGTGCATTAAATTTGCACAAAATTTAAGCGTTTATAGATTTTCGCAAAACCCGAGATCAGCCCGTCCACAAACAACGCAATTCGCGCCGACCGCGAAGGGGAGCGCAATAATAGAACATAACAGACGTCCATTTGCAGCTCAACTCCAAAAACAAACAAAGTCAACAAGCGCGTGCGACAGAGACAGCGAATTATGCCTTGGGGGAGCCGCTGACATTTTCATCAGCGCCAACAACTGCAGGAACCACCAACACGACAACAACAACAACGACAGCAACAACAACAACAACATTGACTGAGTGTCGCTGGCACAGTTTTTCCTGCTGCTCTCTGTGGGTGAGTAACAATGTTTTTGTTGTTTTTAGCGTTACGGGTAGAAAGTAGTTATCGAATATGATGATGGAGGCTAAAAAATGGCGACTGGGATTGGGCATGGAACTGGAACTGGAACTGGGATTGGGCATGGAACAGGAACTGGCACTGGAACCAGTGTGTGGGCGTTCAATTGTTTGCTTTTGCGGCCAGCTTCAGCTGACAAACTGTTCCTAATGGCTTTCGTTGGGCTTGGCTTGGCTTGGCTGGTTGAAAGGTCGCTCCGTGCAGCTCCAGTTCCAGCTCCAGCTCCAGCTGGCACTTCATTTATGCGGCGTCAAAACTCATTTCGTGTGTTGCATGACTTCAGCGATAATCGATTCGCAAGCAAAAAGCAAACGGCAGCAATCAGGAAGAGTGCAATTTCAGTCAATCAATCAGTCAAACCGTCAATCAATCAGTCAGTCAGTCAGTCAAACGTTCGCTCCGATTATTGGACACATTTGTTTTTTTTTTTTCATACTATATTCATAAGCTAATGATCGGGCTAATGATGAGGAACGGATGCTCTAACCGTTTTAATTACGCATCCGCGACAACTTGCGGCGCCTGTTGGGCTGGGGGCGGGAGGGGGGGGGGGGGGGGGTTCAGCTGCCGGCCGGGGTGTGGCTGAGAGAGTTGCAGAAACTTCAGGAAAATACTAATTAAGCTTCATTAATCCGTTTGTCGTTTTGAATTGATAGAGAAAATCTCAAGTGGCTGTTAGACAATTTATTAAGTGTTCAAAATGAAAATGAAAAGAAATTAAAGATTAGAGAGTTGCTTGTGACCGCATTTACAGTTACGACTGGGGATGTACACACAAATAATAATCATAAATTTCAAGTGTACCAAGCAGTTGATCAAGCTTCGAATTGTGGAACAAACACATTTAATTTATACCCTTGCAAAGGGTACTATAATTTGCTCATGCAATGTGTAACGCATAGAAGGACACATCCCTGACCCACATATATTATAGAAAAGCATCAACAGCCGAGTTTATTTAGCCATGCCCATCTGTCCGTCCGTCCGTCAGTTTCTCTGCGAACTAGTCTCTCAGTTTTCAAGCTATCGTCTTGAAGCTTTGCATAGGTCCGCCTTTCTGATGCAAGCAGTACATATGTCGGAACCGGACGGATCGGAGCACTATATCATATAGCTATCAAAGGAACGTTCGGTTGTAGATTAAGTTCTAGTTTGAAAAAGTTTGTTTCAGATATCTTGACGAAACGCGGCTTGTATTAGGTTTACTATGCTACCCATATATGCAATCTTATCAACATGTAGGAACAATTCGAGAGTAGCTCAGCATTAACAAGTTTTCCTTTTCTCACATATCTCAAAAAAGTGTAAGGCAATGTCTACAAGGCTGGTAAATCTTTGCCATGCCGAAAAAATGCATACATTTCCTGCATTCTAAAAATCTTGAAGTAAAAATTGAATACTCATTCATAAAGAAAAACTTACTTAAATGTAGCTTACATACTTTCATGTAGAAATTGAATTATTAATCGAGAAAAAGGTATTGAATTCTTTTCGAGCATATCCAGAAAACATTTGTACATACGAATGATCGTCAAATGTCAAAGAACATTTTTCGAATTCACAAATATATGATAAATAACAAAAAAAAATGCATTCTGAGAAGGTTTCTATGAGCACAATGTTAACATCTATAACCTGTAGAATATTTTCCATCATATCGATCATATCGTGAAGCAGCTTAAGGAGTGGGAAACAGTTTAAAAGAGATCAAAAATTGATATACATGATCATCATTATCATGTATGATCTCACCTGCGTGGGATTAGTCGATTTGACTGATTTATGGCGAAATACTTTTAGCTCGATCTACCAAAGCTGTTGTCAGTAATCTATTTGCCAACTTTTATTGACGAGCAGTAAAACTGTGGAAAGTATCAATTTTCCCAAAAACGAACAGAAACTTTTGGTAGTGCGAATAGTCTTCACTGTACTTTTGCTCTGACACATTTTCATTTTCTAAATAATTAAATCTTATCAGAGCGCCGCGAAAATTTGACTTGTTTTTATATTTGGCGAATATCTGGTTGCATTCTAATGTGCGGCCTGTCGCCTTATCGGAGCCGATAACAGGTCTTATAAATACGCGCATATATATGTATATGGTATATATATGCATGAACGATTACCCTCGATTCTTGTGTATGTACACATGCTTAGTTGAATTGTGTTCCCGCATTCATCCCCCCCCCCCCCCCCCCCCCCCCCTCAGGCAACTCTTGTCAAGTAAATTGATTTTGATAAAACTTGTTTTTCTAGAGTGTGCGATTTTTTTTCGCACCCTTACCCTGCTCCCCGTCCTTCCCCCTCACGAACAGGCTTGCAATCAAATCAAGCCCGTTAACAAAAGCGCAAAAAACTTGTCAACTTTTTGTTTTGTTTATGCCGAATATTTATGATATTTACATAAATTAACGCTGTATTTTTGGCTTTGGCTTTGGATTGCGTCGATTGCCAATTTCAAGGTCAACAGCGAAACCTAACAACCCGCTTAACTGGAGCAGATGCAGATGCAGAGGGCAGACCCAGACCCTGAGAACTAAACACAAGATTGATATATTATATCATTTAGCTGATCTTTTGTTGAGGCTCAGTTTACATCGCACAAAAGGATTTGTGGCATTGCATTTCAAGATGGTCGCTGGCAGGAGGCTCTCGGGCGAGACAAGTCGGCGTCCTCACTCCAGGGGGCAGGCGGGCAGGGGGCAAGTTTTAACTGTGCTGGTGGCCTCTAAAAATGCTTTTCTATTTTCGCTTTACTGCTGTTTTATGAAGACTTCCAAGTCTGGTCAATGGTCAGCTGTAGACGTGGCTATTACACACGCCCCACACCCAACCCCACCCACCCCTTGTACCCCTTTGGTGGAGTGTCATGTGGCGCATGCCGCTGAAAAATAAACGAGGAACCCCTCCAAGCGTGAAGTGGGCTTCCCATAGTCGTTGTTGTTGTTGTAGTTGCTGTGATTATATAGTTAGTTATATGTGAGCATGGGTATGAAAAGTAACCGAGTGCAAGCATCGTTATATATCGCAGTTTGTGTCATAAAGAGTTTTATATTTCTTGGCTCGCATTAAATGAAAAATGAAGCGGACCAAAGACTTTCTCTGCCATATGACAAACAATTTCGGCTGTTGCCGTAATTGCGCCAGCAATGAGCTGTTAATGAAACCAAATAGACAGACAGCCAGTCAGACAGACAGACAGTCAGATGGACAGATAGATAGACTCGCAGCGAGTTAGAAAGATGGAGGGAAGCACTAGTCATCGTGCCAATATGATCCGTGGGCCAGGCCAATGAACGATCCGGCCTCAGCAGCTTAAGAAAACTGAGGCAAGCAGAACTTTATATTTTTGCGGACTTCTTTTCATTTCTCTCTGCCTATTTTGGTCTAAAAACAACAACAGCTAAACAAACAGTACACTGTGCAACCAGTTTTTGGGGTACCAGAAATTGTACCAAATAAAATTGTACAGAATATCAAAACATTTGACCTGATAGCTAGGCATAAAGAGACAAAATAGGGGGTTCTATGGATATAGGATTATATTCTACTTTATATAAGATTAGATATTATATACTTAATATTTAGATTCCTCAATGTTAAGTTGCTTCATATGAAACAATTTTGATAGTTAGAAAACCTCAGCCCTAACTCCTTTGGACTTCGCTTCTGATCAAATATTTAAAAACTCTTTCAAATTGTACAGAATCACAAAAAAATATATATAGGAAAAAGACAATATAGGACATTCTATGGTTCAATGTTCAGAG